TGTTATTATGTTTCAAGAGACTCCAACAGAAAGTATACAGTTTATCATGTTATTATGTTTCAAGAGACTCCAACAGAAAGTATCCTGTATATCAAGTTATTATGTTCCAAGAGACTCCAACAGAGAAAGCATCCAGTACATCAAGTTATGTTTCAAGAGACTCCAACAGACAGTATCCAGTATATGAAGTTATTATGTTCCAAGATACTACAACAGAAAGTTTTCAGTGGCTGCCTCATTTTAATGGTTCTGATAAAAGATATAAATTTGTCTTCATGTTTAATTTGTTAGGTGTGGTTTTGTGGTTATGAATTTGTAATATTCTTTACTACTAATGAAATGATGATACCTCAAACTGTCATAATGTACTTTTCTCATTAAATTACTTTAAGTCACAAGTGTGTTGTTACCTTAAGTATATGATGAATTTCAAGTACAGTGGAGACGAAAACTAAATTTTCTGATATCTGTGAAGCTATAAGTGATTTCTCCAAGTCTGTTCCTTTAGCTGATGATATTTGTGAAGCTATAAGTGATTTCTTTAAGACTGTTGTTTTATCAGTGGGGTGCTGTTGCTGTTGAAAAGTATCTTTGGCCATAAACATGATAATATCTCATGAGGTGTAGCTTCATAAAGGTACTTACTAATCCAACACACATTTTCAGCTTAAATAAAATAAAGTATTTTATTTGGTAACCTATTTATCTTGTACTAGAATCTATAAAAGTTAGCACGTTAATTACTTTATTAACTACTCATTGACTTCCACCTGACAGATTCAAGGTGTAAGAGTGATAGGAGTGAACAGCTGCACTGCTTTGATTATATGGAAAGATGCTTCAACTCGGTAGGTATTTTAGTTTGTGCTTTGCGATAATAAGTTGTTTATTAATGATAAAATAACCATTGTCCAAAGTAATATTGGGTATGACCGAACAGAACATAGTACGTTTGTTTCTAAAACAACACACATCATTTCTCCTGCAGGAAAATTCAAGTAGACTTCTGATATTTCGAGGTTCGATTATCTATCAATGATTTATTATCAAAAATAAGCTAATCTATCAATGATTTATTATCAATAATAAGCTAACTGTATAGACCAGAACTAAAAAGGTAAGTTATTAAATAATAAAGCTATATTCTGTATAACAAACTGGATAAACATACATTATTTCATAAACCTTTCCACAAGGACACTACAGCTTCTAATAATTACACTGAATTGACTCATCAGTTGTAATGTTTAGTCATTAACACCTCACAAGGTTTGGCTACCTTAAGACAGACCTAAGTCCTCATACTAAGCCAGTGATGGAAAATAATGTAAATAAATGTACATATTAATATTAAAGAGTATTTTATAGGTTATAATCAACAATATTAATGACACATTTAGTATGTCACTATTCATTTAAACACCATGAGCTTCTTCAGATTTTTTTATTTATTTTTTGCTCTAGACTGTTTCCTTAATAGATTGTCAAGTTCAGAGCTTCTTTTACAGGTGAAACTGAAAAATACAAATATTTATGATAATACTTTGTGTTAAATTTAACTGAAAGTTATAATACCAGGTTTATTGATACTTCTGGTTGTCTTTACAGACTGAAAGCTGTAATAACACGTTTATTGATACTTTTGGGTGTCTTTACAGACCGAAAGCTGTAATAACACGTTTATTGATACTTTTGGGTGTCTTTACAGACTGAAAGTTATAATAACACGTTTATTGATACTTTTGGGTGTCTTTACAGACTGAAAGTTAT